ATTCAACTCCTGAGGCCCTTGATCCTGAAGCTGCAACGGAATTACAGCAGAAAAGAAGGTGAAGAGGAATCTTTAGGTGGTTGGGAGGACGACAGACGGACCTGCCCGCCTGGGACACCTCACAGAACTTTTTCCCAGGTGAATATCTTGGATATGACTTCAGAGCCAGCCAGGAATGTTGCAAACAGCAGCTCTGCCCAAGTGACAACGTAACAGCTCCGTAATTTTCCTGGCCAGCTGCTAATTACTGCTTCTAGGTGCAGCTTTCAACGTGCATCAGCCCCATTCCAGCCCTTCCCATGAGGAGAAGCAACTGGGTTCGGCAGAGGAATTTTGGAGCATCCTCTGGTATTACAGGCAGATTGTTCCTTTGGGCTGGGAGAGGGGATAATTAACTACCCATTTCTCCTGTACTCCGGGGAGGGGCAGAGACAGGAATGCTCAAAGCTTTACCTCCTCCACGGCAGCCTAAAACAGTCCCTGAGACTCCCAGGTGCCCAAAAAGCAGCTTTGCCACCCCGAGTCTCCATGAAGAAGCGCTCGAAACCTTTAAAGCCAAGAGCTGCCTCTTGCAGGTGCTTTAAAATGTCTCAACTGGGGCACAGGGGGAGTTGCTGAAGGGGAGAGCAGGCTCAGGGCTAGGCATCATCTCAGGAAAGCAAAGCAGGTTTGAATTTACATCCCGAGTAAGGAGTAATAACAGGAGCAAAACTTCCCTGTGCGAGACACTGTTATTTCATTACGTGGCCAGGCAAAGCCCAGACTTCTTTTACTCCTGCCCAGTGACGTCCTTGCTGTCACTAAGTCCTGAAGAATGAGCTCGAAGCGTATTTAAATCATGCTCTGTGTTTCCTCCCAAGTGATAGACATATATACGTTTAAGAATTATTTCTATGGGGACAAAAAAAGTCGTAGAAACCATCTGAAAGATGCTCTGGGGGCATTGGGGAGCAGCCTGAGAACCACGGGACCACGGTCCAGGGAAATCTTTCCCGGCTTTTCTGCCAAGCCTCGCTGGCGTTGGTGCTTTAGAGAGGGATGGTCGTGGGAACAGCTTCGGGTTTGGCCCGGGCGCTGGGAAAAACCCGCCTCCCAACCCCAAAGGTTGGCTCCTGGCAGAGGCTGGCTGCTTTGGGGGCAAATTTGGGCCAGGCAGGAGCCTGAGAGAGCAGCATCCCCAGCATCCCCACGGAGCAAAATGTTCATCCCTATCCCTCCCTAATACATTTGCTTGGAAAGCGCAGAAAGAAACAGGAGCTTGTTGGCAAACTCCCCCTTTACAGGGAGAAGGATTCATTCGGCTCTCCCTCCCCTCGCACCACTGGGGTCGCTTATCAGGGGAGGGTTTCCCGCAAGCTGATGTGGTTCGGGGTGGTGGTTTGGGGTCCTGCAGCCGCGACCTGCCCAGCTGCTGTTTTGGGGACGTGGCTCAGGGGCTGCGGGCTGTCACAGCAGGGAGCACAGAGCTGGCCCTGCTGCCTCGTCCCCTCGCTGTGCTCTGCCGGCAGGGATTGATAATGACAGCTTTGCCCGATGGATTTCTCCTCGCGCGCGTCCCCGGTTATGCAAGTGTGTTTTCCATGTTTCCGAGCAGGCAGCTCCTCGTGTTGTTTATTAAAAACCCAGCCGGGGTGGGTGGCGGGGTGACCTGCGCTCGCTGTCCCATCGGCCGGGGGCAGAACTGTCTCCTCTGACCGTCTCGGTGGGGGAAAAGGTTTCAAACTGGGTGTTTCTGCGGAATGGGGAGGTTGGTGCTGCTGGGGGGAGATGCCTGGAGCTGGTGGGGAAAACACCAGGAGCTGGGGGTGCGGGAGCCTCCGCTCAAGGCCAGGGAGACACATAAAAGCTCCTTCAAAGCAGTGACCGCGCTGGGAAGGGGGATGCAGGGCTGGGGGTGAGCACCAGCCCGGGCAGGGGGGTGCCCGTGAGGAGATGTTGGTGGTCCCATGAAGTTGTCCTCCTTCAGGGCAGCCGGGAAACCGGCTGGGGACCCTCCTGTGGGGCAGTGGATGAGGAAAAGAGGGATGAAACACCCCTTGCCCGCTCCCACCGCCGTCATTGGGGGATCCCTGGGGGGCGTGAGTGGGACCAGTGGTGGTGGGTCGCTCTACGGAACCCTTCTCCGGACATCCTGCCGGGAAGGAGCCGGGCCGTCCCCGGCAAAGCGGGGGCTTTGCCTTCCCCCCGTCCCCACGCCGGCACACACCCGGGGGCTCCCCGGTGTGTGTCCCCCCGCCGTCCCCACGCCGGTGCGGCGGCTGTCGCTTACCTGCCGGGAGGAGGAGGAGGGCGAGGAGGAGGAGGCGGCAGCAGCAGCCCATGGTGCCGGCGGCGCTGGCAGCCGCGGCGGGAGGGACGCACCGCCCGGCCCCGCCACCGCCACCGCCCCGGTCCGGCCCCCGCCGCCACCGCCGCCGCCCCCCTGCCCGCACCCGGCCCACAGCGGCACCTGCCGGCCCCGGGCACCGCGGCGGGGATGCGGGACCCGCACCGGGACAGCGGGAGGGGCACGCCGGGCACCGGGAGGAGGATGCGGGGGAGGCTCCGGGAGGAGGATATGGGGCGCTGGGCGTGTGGGACCGCAGCATCGGTGGGTACCTGGAGCTGGCTGTAGGGTACCAGGCACCGGGAACACCGTGCTGGGTGCTGGCACTGGGACCAGTCGCCCTGCCCTGGGATGACTGGATGCTGAGTGCCTCACGCTGTCAGTGGGCATCATGATCTGAGGACCGGGCATGGGGTGCTCTTGTCCCAGCCAGTGGCACCAGGTGGGGGATCAGGGTGCCCTGTGGCACTGCCACTTGTCCCCCTTCATCCTCAGGGCCATGCCAGCTCCTGATTCAATATAATGCCTTCCCACAGCAAAACCAGCTCCCAAAATGCAGCTCCCAGTGCCCAAAGGACACAGCCAGGAGACACCTGTGGCACAGCAGGAGGTACGAGGGCCATTTTTTTACCTCTTTCATTCTGGAAAGTGCTTTGCTGCGGGTGAAATGTTTTCAGGCTGAACTCATCACCTCCGGGCTTTCGCATGCTTGCTATGGAAAAGGATGTCACGGAGCCCAGGCTGTGGCCAAGCTATCTTTATCCAGGGTTATGCAGCCCTCTATTCTATTGCATTGTGTGGCATTTTCTCCGGATGGATCCTGGCTCTGGGCCTAAAACAGCAGGACACAAAATCCAAGTCAGCTGGCGTTCCTGAAGCGGATGGTGTTGGGCGATATCTCAGCTCTCCTTGAAACCTTTCCTCTGCTCAAGAGGAGGAAAAATAATGCTGTTATTGCTGCTGGAGCTTGGTGCCGTGGGAACAGCGTGATAATCTCCTTGCTGCTTCTCTCACATCCCTTTATTTTTTGTTGCACGCTTCCATGGGCAGGAGGAGTTTTTTGAGGAGAGGGCACAGCCACCGCTTCCCACCATGGCCTTGGATGGAAAACCCCAAACCTGAGTTGGGGTGCTGAGAGCTGGGCTGTGGGAGGCCTGGAACACCCCTGATGGTCACCAGGCTTGGGCTCCAGCTGCCATCTGCTGGTCACCTCTGCCTGGTCACCTCAGTAGAGCAGAGGACACACGGCCAGCGAGATGTCCCTTTCTGGGGATACCTTTTTCTGGGGATACCTTCTGCCAGACATTTCCCATTTCTACCGGAGATTGGAAACTGTTGCCTCTGGTGACACCTGCCTTGGGGCTCTGCCTTCATATCCAGATATGAAGGATGCTGAAGGGACACTGTTTCCTCTTGGTGGGCACAAGGATTTTTTTCCTGCCTGCTCCCTGCCTGTGCCCGCCCCACCGGGATGAAGTCAGCTCCTCTTAGGTGGCCCCGTGCCACATCCAGGTGCCAGCTGCCGGTTTCACCAGTCTTGCCCAAGTCCCCACAGGAGCTTTGCAACGTTTCTCTGGTGGTTCATCACCCCCTGCCTGCTTTTGGGGAGCAGCTGGCAGGGAGCCAGGGTGGCCACGAGCCGAGGGGCGGGCGATACCGGCGTGCCGGAGCTTGCGGCAGGATTTTTTGGCTGAGCAGGGCTGAGGGAGCTCGCTCACCCCCTGGCCAGCAGCCAAATGGCATGGCTGGGTGGCTGCCAGCACTTGCATTAATAGCTGCCAGCTTGCGGTTTGAGGTCACCCGTTCTTTCCAGTCTTTCATTTCCACCTTCCTTTCGCGCCTGTAACGACCCGGAGCAGGGAGCAGCTCCGCCTCTCCTCCCTGCCCGAGCCCCTCTTCGCTGGACGAAATTCTTCTGCTTTCCTCGGAGCCAGGACAGCACCAGCCCGTGGCGCCACATCCCTATCGAGCATCCCTAGATGCCAGGAGGGGACCTGCCAGCATCCCGGGGGGACGCCTTCACCCCTGTTCCTCGAGACTTCACTCAGGGGGACAGAAAACATCCTCCCACACATTCTGAGGCAAAAAAACCACCCCAAGGCCAGCGTGCAGAGGGCTCGTGCCAAGGCACAGCCCCTTGCAGGATGATTCGGAGCTGCCGTCATCCCCTGCCAAGGCCTTTGGGAGGGTGTTTTATAGCTGCCTGCTATGAATAAATCTCCCTTTTCATAACAAGCTGGCCGGGGATAAATGGCTCTGGGGACGTGAGGCTGGGCCTGGGTGCACACCCTCCGTCCCTCCGGGGAGGGGAGCCCCGGAGTCCCTCTTGGAACCCGGGATGGCAGGATAGGGGTCCGTCTCGCTGCCCAGATCCCCAGGGATGCTGGGGTGAGGCATCTGCTTGACGCCTCCCGGCAGGACGGGGCCAGGCGTGGCTGGTGCGAGGTGGGACGTGCGTCCGTGGGACACGCGTGGGTGGGACACACGGGAGGGGACGTGCCGGGGGGGCACCGCCAGACCGCCAAGGGATGGCTCCGGCGGGGTGGGAGCCGCGCAGCTGGAAGAGGAGGAGGCGGAGGAGGAGGAGGAGGGCGGCGGTGCCGGAGCGTCCGCCCCCGTCCCGCCCCGCCGCAGCCGCCGGGCACCGGGCACCGGGCAGGCGGCGGCGGCGCGTATGGAGGCGGTGGCGGCGGCCCCGGCCCCGGGCGGCGGCCCCGGTACCCTGCTGCTCTGCCTGGCCCTCGCCTCCGGTAAGCACGGGGGTCCCCTGTCCCGCCACTGTCCCGGTCCCTGGATACCCAGATACTGACAGAGGGTGTTCCCTCCTGTCCCGGCCCGGTGCCCCCCGCCCCGGCACGGTGCCACCCCCACTGTCCCAGCCCGGTGTCACCTTCTGTCCCGGCCTCGTCCTGTTTCTGGTCCCCGTGCTGCCCCCATCCCATCCCGCTGCTTCCCGATCCCTGGTGATCCTCCACCTGCCTCCTGGTCTCATCCCGGTGCTCCCCCTGTCCTGGTGCTTCCCCATCCCACCCTGCTGCTCTCCCGGTCCCATTCTACTGCACTCCTGTATCCCCCGCTGTCCCACCCCATCCCGATGCTGACGCTGTCCCATCCCAGTGTTCACCCTGTCACCCTGATGTTTTCTCCAGTTCCATCCCAGTAACTCCCTGTGTCCCCCCGGACAATCCCATCCCAGTCCTTCCCCCACGCCCAGCCTGGTGTTTACCCAGTCCCATCCCGGGAGTCTCCCATGCGTCCCCAGGTCTCATCCTGGAATTCCCCAGCACTCCGTTCCAGTGCTCCCCTTGGCTCTGAATCCCTGCATCCTTTGGGGCCAGAGTATCCTGGCTGGATCCTGGAGCAGGAGTGGGATACTTTTCCCACCTATTGATGGGACAGTGCTCACGGGTGCCCAAACACCCTCTGCCATCTTTGGCAGCACTGGGGAGGGGGGATGCCGGGGGGGGATGCAGTACCTATTCAGCAGGTGTGTGAGCATTCCCGTGTTAGTTCCTGAGTGTTTGGGAAGCAGGAAGCTGCAGGCAGCAGCCTACTCAAGGCCGGTAGGAGATAACAACAGGTAGGGCTGGGCAGCTGATGTCCCCCTGGCAGAGAATGCCAGCACTGGAATTTCAAAGGAGCTTTCCTCTCCGCTGGGAACAGGTTGGGTTTGGCCTTTCAGCAGGGCAGGTGACGGCACTTGGCAGAACCTGCCAAACCTGTGCTGGCAGGAGGAAACTAAGGGTGGCCGACCTGTTTTGGGGCTGGGGTGCCCCATCGGACCAAGGCAATGCCCTCGGTGGTTGCTCTCCTGCAGTTTGGGCTTTCCCGGTGGAACGTGGGGGTGTTACAGCAAACTAATCCGATGTTTGGGATACTCTCCTGGGTTATGTTTGGCTGCTCAGAAGGGAGTGCAGCCTTAGATAGTGGAGCCGGGTTCTCTGTGCATCAAAGAGATGAAGGTGTTTGCACCCGCAGCTCCAGGGTGCTGCGATCTGGCTGCCGGAGGGCACAGCCCCCCTCCCTGAGGAGCTGGCGCTGCCCCAGGGCACTCCTGCCAAGGGGCTGCCAGCCCGGAGGATGCCAGAGCTCCCCATCTGGTTGCAATAAGGGTGGGGATCTCATCTTGGTGGGGATCTTTCCATGTCGAGCTGTGAACTCGGTCACCGGGAGTGAAGTCAGACTCCCTCCCTCCCTGCACCGCCGCGTGCCCACGCCGCCCGCAGCTGCTTCCCGAGGGGAAGCCGCCCCGTGGCTCATCCCTGGTTCCCACCAGGCAGCTCCCACCCTGCCGCTGGGCTGGAGGGGCCGGTGGGCTCCGTCTCCTCCCCGCCGGGCTCTTTTGGAGCTCTGTTACCCGGAGCGCGTCATTAGCGCGGCAGTGGCTATATATAGCCAGGAGGGACGTGTGTGCCGGGAATGTCCCTGCCGTGGGACGGGGGGGGGACTCCGGAGGCTTGGCTGGGCAGCCCCCCTCACTGTTTCCAGGGTGCCGAAGGGCCGGGTGAGAAAACAGGTACCAGGAGACGAGGCTGCCAGGATTGGGCTGCGCAAGCTCTCCACTCTCTGGGAGGCCTCGACGTGCACCCACTCGGGATGGGAACACCCCCCGCCTCGGCGTGTCACCCTCGCGGGAGCCGCCTAGCACCTTGCTCCGTCAGGCAGGACCTGTCCCCGCTCCCCTGGGTGCCACCGCGGCGGGGTGAATCCCTGGGGAGGGCCGGGCTGGGAGCGGGGCCGTGCTGAGTCAGTGCTGGTATGCCAGCGATCCGGTTACCGCCGCCGTGACGCGCCGGGGCTCGGCCGCCTCTCAGTTTCGCCCCGTGGCCACGGTGACCAAGGTGGCCTCTTTCCTGGCTCAGTTCGCGCTGCGCTCCGGGGAGGCCCTAGAGCACCTTCCAGTGCCTGAAGGGGCTCCAAGAGAGCTGGAGAGGGACTTGTCACAAGGGCTCGGAGTCACAGGACTGGGGGAATGGCTTCACACTGACAGAGGGCAGGTTTAGATTGGATATCCGGGAGAAATCCTTCCCGGTGAAGGTGGGGAGGCCCTGGCACAGGTTGCCCAGAGAAACTGTGGCTGCCCCATCCCTGGAATTGTCCAAGGCCAGGCTGGACAGGGCTTGGAGCAACCTGGGATAGTGGAAAGTGTCCCTGCCTATGGCAGGGGAGTCGGAAAAAGATGTACTTTACAGTCCGTTCGGACTGAAACCAATCTGTGAGTCCATGATTCTGGACCTCCCTGGGGATCCATCCCTGCATCCTCCCAGGGCAGAGGAGCAGCTGGCTGCCTGCAGGCAGGGCTGTGTGGCCCAAAACCCGCCCCTCTGGCTCCGGGACTCCTGTGCTGGGGCGTTGACGGGTGGAGGTGACAGGCGGGGACCGGCTTTCCCTTCTCCTCGCCCTGGGGAAAAGCTGATGCTGCCAGGGAAGGGGGGCCGTGGGCGCAGCTGCAGAGCCCGTTGCCGGTCCCCACCCTGTGGCTGCGGTGGGGCTGTGGCAGGGATGCCGGGGCTCTGGCCAGGCTCCCTCTCCGAGCCACCTCCGCTGCTTTCCAGGCTTGGCATTCTTCAGCTGCGTGAGCGCCGACGCCAACGTCACCGCCGGGCATGGCACGGAGGGGCTCACCTGCGACACGGCCAAGGGGTGCACAGGTAAGGTGGAGGTGTGAGGATGCTCGGGGGAGCCGGAGGCGTTGCATGGGAGCTGGGCGGTGCAGGGGAGCGGGCTGGGATGGCACAGGAGCAGGTGTTTTGTCTGGCAGAGCCGCGCAGCCTCCACGGAGCTGGGAAGCCAAGGCCACACGTGCTGTTTGCAGCCGGCCAGGCTTGGACCTGCTGCTCCGGGATGCCGCTGCTTCTGGGCGGAGCCGTAACCCCTCTGGGGGAATTCTTTGTCCTTGGCACCCCCAGGGAACGGGACGCAGCTGCGGCGGCAGGGCCACTTCTCCCGGTGCCCGGAGGAGTACAAGCACTACTGTGTCAAGGGGAGGTGCCGCTTCCTCGTGGCCGAGCAGGCGCCGGCCTGTGTGTAAGTCACTGCTGGTGACCGGCAAGGGGTGGGATGCCGTGCCCGTCCTCCCTGGGAGAGCGGGATGAGGGGGGCACGGGCACCACGGCTGTTTTTGGGACACTCCCCCCCCTCTTCTGCCTCCCTTGTGCCGCGGGGCAGGTGTGAGCGAGGCTACACCGGGGCTCGCTGCGAGAGGGTGGATCTGTTCTACCTGCGAGGGGACCAGGGCCAGATCGTTATCATCTCCCTGATCGCCGCCATCGTCACCCTCATCATCCTCATCGTCGGCATCTGCCTCTGCAGTCAGTA